CTTTTTCTATCAAGTTCATATGCCTGAAGAAACACTTACTATAACATTAATGACTGACCTGAATGACTTTTCATCAACTATGGGACCTTCCGGCAACAACTCCTTGCGACGAGAACTACTTAAATGAGTTTGGACTTTCTTATGTTCTCGAGTCTGAAATGTGATGAATACACAGCAACTAATTTGTGCTACTCAAAACAAACTTAATAAATAAGGGGCGCTTATAGCGTAGTACTTGGAGGCGCCCTGCAATAAACATGGGACCAATCCCCGCGTTCCAGGCTCACTGAGCCCTCCATCCCTCCGGGGTCGGCAAATTGGCACCAAACTTGTCTGGCAGGATAGCAGCACTGGCTCGATACATCGGTAGATCACCGCGAGCCATTGCATAGGTTAGATGTGTATTCAGTCACCTTCAACGACGGTAAATGAATTCGAATGCATGGAGCATCCCTCAGGGATTGGTCAACGTCGAGAACTTTCGCTTTTATTTTAAAACAAACTTGGTCGAATTTATTTTAATTAAACAGGCAAGGTAAAGCACAGCAACAAAGGAGCCCATGTGAACTGGAACGTCAGCATCTCACGGCTTCCACTAGGCACCACTTTAGATATCAAATTGAGAGTGGAAACGCCTGTGAAAAAAGAAACACTGACTTAACTATTATTTAGACTTCGTGAACTACTATAGCAAACAAGCTCACTTTCACTGCCATAGCAGATTTTTGAGAAAGACAAGACAAATGTGACGAAGCAGAAAGCAACAAGTGCATGGTTTACCTCTTTGTCACGCCATCGTTGTAGTTCATCCGGTGTCATAAGACGAACTGTGCTTGGTGACGGTGTTGACGACAATGAAGCACTAAAATTCATTGAAATTGCTCATCATGAGTTGAAATTTAAACGGTTAGCTGCCTTACTGCAACCACAAAATTCAAGGAACGCTCACTTATTGCTCGCTTCCGGTGGCACAGGTGTTCTACCGTTATCCGACAAAAGTGGTCGTGTATCGTCTACAAGATCGTTAAGTGATGAAAGAGAGAAATCAGTCAGATCCCGCTCCAGGTGCTCTACTTCATCGCATAGCAATGTGTCAGCAGTGGATTGTGATGAATTGGAAACACTTGAGTTCGTTACGTCACGACTGAAACGGGTTTGTTTATGAAGCACTGTTGAAAAGTAAAATCGGCTATTAAAAGACTTCAAAAGATTATAGACTACACCATACACATTATAATAAATCTAGGCTAGATCAAAGGGGTCACAGAACAATTATACTGGGTTTTTTTTCAATCTCTTGAAGGAGACATTTTTGCAAAAGAATCATCAAAGAGATCTGCAAAAGTTCTGCTGTTCAAACAATCTACCTCGTAACTCAAGTAACCTAAGACTCATGATGGTCGTTTGCAGCAGGAAGGACTTCTTAGTATTGCGTGGCATTGTACTCACGTTGGAGTCCTGGCGTAGACAGCAGCGATCGGTTTCGTCTTCGGAGCGCTGATTTGAAGACGACGTTGCCGCGGTGCATCGACCCCCCAGAGTGAACGCGCTGTTGCAAGTTCGTTGAACGCCTCTTGCATATCGCGATTCAACGAGTTCGCAGCCGAGTCCTGTATGGATGACTAAATACAGAAAAAACATAGTTATGAAGAAATATCCAGTCATTTCTAAGAATACAGTAGAAGCTTCCACATAAAAGAATGATACGGCGACTGCTACTTTTTGAAAAGATGAAGGGCAGCTATTAAATGAGTAATGGAGGAGACGGAAAGCCTACAAGGAGCGCAATCTAACATTGAAAGTGCCAATAATGCAAAAACTTCACAAAAGTAACTCGCAACGCAAAAAGGAAGAAAAGTTCTCCAATTCTGGCAAGCCATAAAAATGTATCAGGAAATTATCAAGGCATGATAGGAACTCTGACTCACTACGTAGATACTGCGGTGCTCAATTTGATGTCTTAACGTCATTGTTTAAATAGCGTGACTTTTAGTGGCGATAACTAGCTGGTCACGAGCTTGCTATTTTTCATCTCACTATGCAAAGGGTGCGCGTGTGGCACAGTGGTAGGAGGCAACAACATACATGGGATCAATTCTCGCGCTCTTGACCCACCAAACCTTCCATACCTCCGGAGTCGGTAAATTAGTACCAGACTTGTTTAAGAGGACAGCAGCGCTGGCTCGATACATCGTTAGGCCACCGCGAGTCATTGTAAAGACCAGATAACCTCCAAACGATGCTTAATGAAGATATTGCATGGCAGATCTCTCAGAGTCTGATCACGACGAGAGTTTTGTCCTTCATCTTTTACGAAAATCACACAACCGTCATGATTTTACTAGATTCTTAGTGTTGAGGTAGAAATATGAGATAGGTACTGTATAGAACTATAGTACTATATAGGTGCAGGACCGCACTAAGTATTACAACTGCAGTGTAGTGCACTCTGAACTAAAACTGGACGTGTAGATTTGGAATTTTCAAACTATGGGTCTCATAACATTGTAAACCGACTTTCATTTAATCTCTGCGTGAATGAGGAATTTACGCTATTTCACTGATAAGCTAACAAGAGGTTGTTACAAATGATTTATTCGGCTAACGTATCGACGTCTTCGTCTTCATGAAAGCCGATAATGTGAGTTGATGGTCCACAGCCGTTCGTATTCTCAATATGGCGTTTTCACCTTTGTATCGAGTCAAATCTTCCTCAGTGGAGCATCTCTCGAATGAGCCATACTTATCCGGCGATGCTCTTTATAAATATGCTGGTTATTGACAGTAGTGATTGTCCGGTGATAAGAACTTGTTTTTCCGGACAACCTATCGTGCAGAAGTCGGACAGTAGTCCAGTATCACCGAACTACCATGAACAACCAGAATCCTGTATAAAAGAGCATCGCCGTGTGAGCATGCCTCATTCGAGAGATGCTCCATCGAGGAAGATCCGACTCGATACGAAGATGAAGACGCTACATCGAGAAGACGAAGAATTGTGAACCACAGGCTCGGCTCATCGGCTCAGATAAAGACGAAGACGTCGAAACGTTAGCCGAATAAATGATTGGTAAAAACTTCGTGTCAGTTTATCAATAAAATAAGGGAAACTACGGGCCTTGTATTTGAGCAAGACAAGTTTTTCGAAGATATTTCGAAACCGAAATGCATAAATTAAAAGAATGCAACTTCAATGATGCTGAGATATTTGCAAAGCTCCGGACCGCAGGTGTATGCGGTGGGGAACGAACACGCGCTGTTGTCCTTACCGGGGAGCAGCGCACTTCACCACCACACCATCCGGGTCCTTCGTTTTGTCTGTCTCTCAGCTAGTTCTATCGATCTTTTGCCAGAACTAGCTGAGAGACAGACAAAACGAAGGACCCGGATAATACGTTAAATTGTGAAAAGAATGTTTTAAAGAGACGTGGAATATCCCAGCATAGCTGTAATGCATAAGTTCACGTAAAGTGTCAAATAAGAGACATACCGTCAGTGGTGGGGCACTTGGTGACGTTGTGTGCCGAGTCGGTGGTGACGACTGTGGAGACGTAGATGGAGGCGGTTGAGAGGGAGCCCGCGACACTGGCGGCGTCAACCCCAGATCGCGTAGCGTCATTAGATCCTGAAACCTCACAAAATTCATACAAACATTGAAGTGATCTGGTCATGTGGACATTCCAAATATCCGAACCACTAGTTTGAACAAAAAATAGCGACTTACCTTAGTCTGATAGATAATGTTCAACTTTCCAATTAAGTTATCTTGGCAGGAACCATTGTTAAGTAAAAAATTCCTCGGCAATTTAGGTTTTATCATCACGAGCACGGTGCTTCTCCGATCCCGTTCCATGATCAACACTTCCATTCCTACGCTGTCGGCAAACTGGTACCAAACGTGTCCGGGAAAAAATTACTCTCTGAAATCCAAGTGGGAACGCTCTAGCCCGACTAACTCAGGACTCCAGTGAGAATCGACTCGATCAGTATTCAACAACATTCAAGATGAAAGGAAATCGTCAACAGCTCTAAAAAAATAAAGGATAAAGTTCTGAGCGTTGAGCAATCCCTGAGGAATGCGCCATACATTCGACTTCATTAAGTATCGTTGGAGGTGATTGAATGCATATCTGGCCTTTACAATGACTCGCGGTGGCCCACCGATGTATCGAGGCAGTGCTGATATCCTCCCAAACAAGTCTGGTACCAATTTGCCGGCCCCGGAGGGATGGAAGGCTTGGTGAGCCATGGGCGAGGGGATCAAATCCACGTGTGTCGCAGTGGCGCCTCCAACCACTGCGCCACACGTGCTCCCCTCAACAGCAGCCGAATTCATGCGTAAAAAGTTTAAAGAGCTTCGTGGATGATGGATGCGAGGAAAGAATCGAATTTGAGAAGTGCCCGGATCCGCACAAATGTGAAAGACGGGTCGTTAAAAAAAATGTAAGTTTTATGTCAATAATATCCACGCGAAAAACTGGCTAATTCGATAACTGTCAAGTAAGTGCTATCATTTGTTTACCGAATATTTAGGGAAAAACCATAACACCATGAAAACAAGCTCCAAAAAAACTTCGGAAGATTTTCAACATTTACTTTATCCATGATTCTTTATGACAGCAACTTTCCCCTTTATGAAATAAATACTCCTCGCAGTGCAACACTTTCATTTACTGCCTTTTCCTTTTTAACGGCAGAGTATTAGGTGAAATATAACCATGATGCTGAGATATTTGCGCAAACTCCGGACCGCTGGTGTCTGCAGTGGAAAACGAACGCGCTATTACCCTTTCCGGGGCTAACGCGTTCACTACCACACCATGCGAGTCTTTCGTTTCGTCTGCCTCTCAGCCGTGTTATTGACTTATGGGTGCTATCAACAATCATCTGTCAACTCTTACCCGTCCGCCCGGATTTCTCGCAGTGTTTGGATAAGTGTTACAGTGTAGGAATTTTTGTTAAAGACGTGTACTCTGAATAATGCCCACTGAACTCGAACATCACAGGGTGGAAGCTGCTGTTATAATAGTATCCACTGACAGATGCCCGTAAAGCGCTTCTTCCAACTCTCTTCTTCCCTTTTTTAAGGCCAAAAGAATAGAGAAGAAAGTGAATGGGACGTAACCTGTAAAAGAAAAGAAAATTTTATTTACCCTCGTGTTTACGTCCAGCTCTCTTAATGACATCGTTTCACGGGCGCCAACACCTTGTCGAGCGACACTGTTTCGTAGAATAACCGGTGTGGAAATCTGTAAAGGAGAGAAAATAGGAGGAATTACAATCATTTCTAGAAATCAGAGAACTTTTTCTCTTATCTTATTACTGGCTGAGGGCAAAAGTTGATTTAGAAGACGGAAATATTGAGTGGATCCCTGGTTTTGTTTTATTGAACGGAATCTTGACGTACACGTATTAGAATACATAGGAGCCACAAATTTATTTGGTGAAACCGCTCTTAGTCAAGAGCTAAGCGAAAATTAAAATCTTTACCAAAAAACTGAGTAAAAACGACAGTACGACATAAGTACAACAAAAACTAACTAACTAATCTGATAAAGAAGACCAAGTTTGAGTAAAAACTAGGCACAGACACTGAGAAGTTTGTTTCGCACCTGCGAGAATGAGGATGAAAGGTGAGGTGAAGCGACTTCCTTAGAAAGGCCACCAGACGAAGATGCAGTTGATGGCGCCAATTCCTTTTTGTCCAGCTGAAATACAAAAATCGAAAGATGCTCACCGTATATATTTTTCGTGTTAGTTCAGATACACATCATATACAGTTGAGATATGTAGATATAGATATGACATGTAGATGTATATCTAGATATTCATATATATATATATATATACATATATATATATATATAATTTAAAAGGCTTTCGAAGTTTCGAAGATCGAGATCTCTACGAGTTGTTAAAGACGTGTTAGAAAACACTATAACGATTCGATGACAACATTATAAGCTTTTCATAAACTATTTAAGTCTTCAAAACACATTCTGAAAAGTACGGAAATACCTGTAGAAGACCGAATGCAGTACCGTCGATGCCAACGTGGCACGTATGCCGAACTTTTCCAACCGGCTCGGAGATTAGAGCTTTTCGCTTCTCACGCTCTCGTTCCTTATCCTAAATACTTTTTCTAGTAACAAAAATGAATTAGTACTTCAAATTTTCGATGGCTACCCCATTGAACGACAGCAATACACTGACCTTCTTTGTTGTTTTCTTTTCTTCTTTCTCCTTTTTCTCGATACTTTTCACTGGGCATGCGCTGGATAGTACTTCAATGTTCGATGGTCTTTCAGCACCTATAAATATATCAAGAGTTCAAAATGCTAAAGTAACAATTTGACTTTCGTCTTAGCGCGACAAATGGTCCAGAACCTGTTCGACAAATATGTGAAACACATATATCTCAGCTCATTGTGAAGTTTATTAGCTGAAACATGCTACATCCCACAGATTCTTACCAAGTTTTCCTGCTCAGCTATAATCACATTCCATGATCAGTTTTTAGAGCTAGAAACCCTTTTTTATATAGCACTGTGTTTAAGGGGCGGCGAAAGATTGAAAGAACGGAACCCCACCGTTTACTACGCGATGGTGCTCCCGAATGTGTTGTTGAGGTTCTTACCGCTAGTGAGTGACCCTATCAAAAATTTTTAGAGTTGTTTCATTAATATTACTAAAAAGCTTTTAAACACAAAAAAACTATTGAAAATTGTGTAAAACTTTAAAGCGACAGGTTAGCCTATTCTACAAGTTCCCAACGTTCCTAATTCCTCAAACAACTGATTTATTGAAATGTTGTGGGAAGATGGTGAAAAACGCGCAGCTTTTTAAAATGTATTAATAAGATAGCACCTATAGGAAATAACACGGCCGAGAGACAAGTGAAACGAAGGACTCGTATGGTATGGTGGTGAACGCGTTAGCCTCCGTAAGGGGTAATAGCGCCTTCGTTCCCTATCGCAGACACCAGCGGACCGGAGTTTATCCCAGTAACAACGTGGTTACTAATAACAGTTTTTTTCGCGAACTTGTCTACCTTTGAGTTTGTTTGATTAGAGGCATAGAAACAAGGAAATTTGATTTTAACGGTGGTTTTTAAATTGATCATCTCACGAGACGACATGCCTAACTGTAGGAGAGAAAAATTCTGGATGTGGTGTTATAAAATAGGAGAGTCTATGTACGAACACCACTGACTCAAAATGTTAAACATATTTACTTGTTTCATTACATTACCTTACATCACGTATTTTGATTCCAGCACTTGATTAGCACTAAAAGATAACAGAGTCAAACCTCCACCTAAATGAGCTACAGTATCTGTTGGTCGAAATAAGCCAGTCCTCCCGTTTCGAAGCGAACCGAACCAATAATACCCGTCAGGATAACTCGACGGTCTGAAAAAAAACCAATGTAGTTACTTTGATGAAGTTGAGCCGTGTAAAGCGTGGTATAAGAAAGAGAAACCCAACCATACTACCTACTGTTAGAAAGTAACGACGAATTTAAAAACACAACAACATGAATAAATCTGAATCGGTGCTACATCAGAGGACAAGATAAACACATAAAAACTCGATTAGAAAATCCATGAAGAGGTATGGTTAGTAAGGAATCCTAGAAAGGTACTGAAATACAAAAACCTAACAGTTTAATCTACTTACGTCCGGTCGATAACCACAATTAGATCGTCTTTTCGGTATTGCAAGTGATCGTTCGCTGAGTCACGGCAATCACAAATAGCTCTAACCGTTTGTGGCAATCTGGAAATCTAAAAGGTTTATTTCGAATACTCCAGTGATCCCTAATATACCAACAACTGAAATCCTAAACATCCATTCACAAGAAATTCTTCATCCCCGATCGAATATTATAAACGAACAAGTCGTCTCTTCAAAATGGAACGGTTTTAGTTACTTAATAAGTAAATGACAGCCCTTAATTTCACGGATGCCAAAAAAGACTGCAAACTCACTCGCGATTTCAACAAGTCATATACTCGGTTTCTCGATAAGAAAAGATAGATTTTCAGGTAGCCAGATTACAGCCGGAGGACGTATTGGGCAGAGAATATCAAGAAGTTACAGATGAGGCTTTGATTCTAATTGACAAAGCTTACTGTGAGCTGAGAAGTGCCTGTTGGAAGACAGAATTGGTTTCAGACACATATATAAAATAGAAGTACAAATCGCTAATCAACCTTGGTACTTGGATGGCCCGCCTTCGCTGGTTGTGCGAGCCCTGGCATAATCTCCATTTTCTCGGAGTTTTGTTGGTCTAGACACTGCGGTTGCCTGGATTCTCGAGGTCAGCCTAGTCAAAGTCTGCCCCAGATCATCATCATCACAGGGATTCACCGTCCTTGTAGATCAGAGGGAGATTTGCCACCAGACGACAAGTTTGGTAATTCAAAAGATCGACTTTCTATGAACTTCGGCATAAATAGTTGATATATTTATTTATATGATCTTATAAACTGACCTTGTTGAGCTGATGCCAGATTGGTATAAATCGGACTTGTGGGACTTCACTCGTAACAGCACGGCTCTGAGGAAAGCGAAATCGCCGAAACGTCAGTCATCGACCAACAACACCAACAATAACGACAACGACGACTTATACCAACCTCGCATCAGCTCAACAAAATCAGTTTACAAGATCATATAAATAAATATATCGACTAGTTTGATACCAGGACGGTAATGGATTCTACTATTTGCTTGGTTTACTGTTAGCTAGGCCTCCTGATAGAAACCTCGGATTCCTTCTCAGGTTGGGAGACTCTTGCTGGAGTGATGAATCCTCCCGCTGTACATCGCAGACCGACACCTAGGAATACCACCGAGCCACGATGAGGAGATAAACCGTTAGGAGAATAATCAACCTTATCAATACGAACTCCTACACAGTCTACAGGCCTGGCAAGTACGTATGTATTGACAAATTATCGTGGCTGTCAGAGGTGGAGCCCATTTTCGCCAGGATACCCCGCGTAAGACGCAAAGATATGGACTCAAGCTACTCAAACTGTGCAGGAGAGGTGGCTCTAAGTCCAAAATTCTGGTATATTCTGGCAGCGACCCATCCATAACTGCATATATAGCACATGATGTTATGGTTATGATATAAGAAGAAAAACATTGCGCTGATCACAGTTTACGAAGCGTCTCTTTCCTTCAACTCATCAAAACCGGAGGTGATTGAACTCTACAGCTAAAGGAAACTTCTCGCAGACACAAGTGCCTAGATGCCGGCCTACTCTTCAAATGTGCAAAAGGTTAGCAAGTGTCACGTATTTTTCTGTCCGTTTACGGCTTAAAAACATCCTTTTTCACCGATAGTTTGGTTACATACCTCTTCTCGTCTACATGACCACTCAAAAGTACGTAGCGAACGTATGGAAGATGCACAATAAGCAAGTATGTAAAATCTCGCTGAATCACTTAAAGATAGACGTTTACTAGTGTTACATTGGAGAGTGGAGTGCTTCGACACCGTCGAGTGCTCATTTTGTTAAAGAAAGTGGCGGATCGAGCAGAACGAGATGTGTGGTTTGTTGCAAAGCGCTGTAGAGCTCTACGATCAAAAATATGCTTCAATCCATAACAGAAGGGTTAAAAGTAGACGCAGCCATTGTAAATATTACTGCTTTGAGTGTTCCAGTGGAATTCATGCTACATGTTCATCACCTATATGGAACTGTATTTGAAAATCACAAGAATGCGCGCATTTTATATGCGAGTTTATTCATTCAATTTTCAATTTCTTTATTATTATTATTATATTACTATTATATTATTATTATTATATTACTATTATTATACTATTATTATATTATATTATCATATTATTTTATTATTATATTTATTTATTATTTATTATTATCTTTCTTACTATTTATTTATTATTTATTTTTTTCATTTTATTCATTTTTATTCATTTATTCATTTTTATTTTATTCATTCAATTTTCAATTTATTCGAATTCACTTTATATGCGAATTTTTATGTGCGCAAGAATTAAAAGTTTTACACAAATATCTTCGATGGCGAAGAAAGAGTGAAAGTTGTACCAGGTAATTGTGATTGATTTAGGGAACTTCTTGCCGAATATTACTTCGCCTGCTGCTTAAGGATTTCGCCTTCTTGATGAGTGCCGTAAAATGCTGGTCGAGTCAATTCTCCTTGTACTTTTGGAGATGGGCTAAGGCCGTGCCCACGTAGAAAGGTGAGTGGTGGAGATGGAGTCGAACTAGCGGCTTTGCTGCCTGATCGACGGTATCAGTAATCACTGGACTACCTCTCCTATTCTCGGAAATAGCAGTGACAATTTTTTGTGAATCTGTTAAATGGTTGTAGTCATCTGTATGTATGTTCTTATGAACAGCTCTTTTTTAGGTGATGCAAGGTTAGTCTAGATGTTCTTATTGGTGTTGTTGTTGTCGTTGTTCAATGGCTAATTTATGGCAAATAGTCATTGAACAACGACAACGACAATGAGAACATCTTTACCAACTTTGCGTCAGCTTAAAGAAGGTAACTCATAAGAAGTTGCAATATAGACTTATCGATTACTATTCATAGAAAGTTGGTTTTTCAAGTTATCAAGAGATCGCAGTCATCATTAAACCACTGGAAAGGAAAGCGAGAAGTCACCTAGTAACGAAATAAAAGCATAAGTAGTCAAAAAACTAGTAAGATCGCCATTGTAACCGAACTGTAAAAGACATCTTCTTCTAAAGAACAAATTGCACGACGTTAAAATATGACTAACCCAATTATCCTCATTTACAGTAACTAATGTGAAAACAGCCTAGAATTTTTTATAAATATAAAAAAATATCTAGGAAACAAAACATTAAAAGCACTTTCAATCTAAACCTCATCATAAACGGCTTAACAGAAATGGTAATAAAGAATAAAATCTAAGACATTCTGCGATACGCCATCACAATTGTTCGGCGGTTAAAATGTCACTTTGCGCAGTCCAATAAAACGCTTTGTTGTTGTTATCGTTGGAACTCATCACTTTATACAAACCATGAAAAACGGACGATTCAATATCAGCGGTTATATGGGTTATAGTGGTGAGGGGGTACGACAACTAATGATAAGATGTTACGTCGTTTCGAGGGTCAAAAAACAGCAGAGTAAACTTCAAGCTCACCAAGTCGATTGCAAACAATTCAAAAGTGCTCCATTTTCTCAACATGATTTCGAAATAGTAACGATTTTTTATTCGAAAGAAAGGAGACTTGTTATCGCACAACGGCAGTGGTAACTAGCATTACGGTGTCCGATAACATAGAAAATAACAAAGAAGACCTGCCACGCTTCCGGCGGAAATGGTGACATGTTAATGAAAGGCGGATGAAGGACACGAACCCCATTAACGATGCTCGATGCGCGGGGTGTGGTGAATAACGCGACGCCCACTTCCGGTCGTACCAAGCAGGAACGGTTCAGCTAAAGTTTCCACAAAGCATCCACATTGGTAGTGGTCAGCTATTTTGGAATTCAATAACATATACAGGAAACTATATGTAAACTTTATTCGGTTATAATTGGTACCGTTAAATAATAGCAAGAAAGAAGAACAGTTTCAACTTCTGAAATTTCTGAATCCAAATGATATTTGCGCTAGTTGTGACTTCGCTAAACGACGAGTGATTTGATCAGGTATTAATAAGCTTTCCACTCCACCTTATCTCATGCCAAAGCAGGCCATTGAGCTACACTGAGCGTCATGGAGAAGGTCGCACTTTTCACATACTGCCCTCTATTTCCAGTTTTTGATTTCAAGCTACGTTTGCGTAACTTGTCAGACTGTATCATGGAAGTTTGGTTATAGCCGCCATGGATGGCTTGTTATGCTCCCCAGTAAAGTGGAGCTAAGTTACTGGAGATGATCACGCACAGCCTTCCAATATTCCTTAGCCTTTTGATTTCAAGCCTACTCCGAAGTGACGTGCTAGATAAAAACCTCATACACATAACCACACCAACGAATATTGTGCATGAATATCCCTGGATTTAGAATTCATAAATCTGTTTAGTGCATCAGAGATAGGGGTTATCCCATGCACCAACCTTCGTGATCGTTCAACAAACTGATATCCAGAAACGCTCATGATGGTTTGATTCGTCTCCAACGAATTAACCGAATTAATGTTTATTCCGTATTATTAGTTCCTACTCAAGAACTGAAACTAGTAGGGATCATTCAAAAAACGTGATGTTCTTCGCAACATTCTAGTGAAGGAGTTCAAAGGCGACAAAGGGGACGAAAGAAGTTTTACCGCTGCCATGAGTCATTCTACAATTCTCGAAATTATAGATGGTACATATAAATATATCCAACATTATTCCTTGTATTTTCATTCTGAATCAGCGGCATTTAGCAAACATGCAACCAAATCTTCAACACCAATCATAGCAATCCCGTCTCTTCCCATATTTCAGAACGTTGAACAAATGTCACCTCTCTGGAAATTGCGTGATGATCTGCGCAAAAGTGGGACGTTCAAGTGCAGCATAACTCCAGCATTCCTCCATCAACGCGTACATGTCTTCAGGACAAGCAGTTGGACGGTTGAGATGCTGTCGTTTTTGATCGATCAAGTAGAGAATCTAAACAGAAGTGAGGTTATTAATAATAATGAAAAACTACTAATAATACTCAAAACGTAGTAACTGCCACGACCGACTTTCTGTTAACCTCGGCATTGATCAAGTGATTTTCTTCGTATTTTTGTTGAGCAAACGCGAGGTGTTACTATTCTTTGTTCACGATTAAGCTGACGTTTCGGCGGATTTCGCCTTCTTCAGAGCCGCTTTCAGAAAGCTCGCGTTTGCTCAACAAAAATACGAAGAAAATCACTCAAAACGTAGATAATGATTGTTGCAAAAGTTTTCTTTCATTATTCCACTAAATTCGAATGACGAATTCATGAAATTTTGCTTCACCGGCTATAGATCCCAGAGAATCCACATGTATGCTTAACTCAAGAAAAAACAAAACAAAAGGCTGAGAGAAAGTTGAAACGAATGACCCGCATGGGCGGTGGTAAATGCGTTCGCCCTCGGAAAGGCCAATAGCGCGTTCGCTCCACACCGCAGACACCTGCTGTTCGGAGTTTTGCAAATATCTCACCCTGCCTTGAAAAATTATAGCAAGCAGAAAATAAAAAGTTAGCAAAACAAAAGTAATAACTCTAACCTCAGCACCAGTCTTCCCATTCCACGGCATTTCACCATAGGAAAACATCTCCCACAGGGTGACACCAAAAGACCAGACGTCCGAAGAGGAGGTGAACTAAACGTACACAGTCATTATGCGTCTTTTCATTCTGTCAACTTTCAGTAATGGAAAAGAGTTAATTAACAAAAAGAGGTTTGTGCAAAATTGCCTTTATCTCGAATGGAAGAAAGTTTTTAGCAAGTTGTTAGAGCTAATATGGAAATAGTCAATCTATTAGACGAATAGAGAATGTACCTTTAGGAAATTTATACATTCTGGAGCACACCACGCAATCGGCAACTTCAGCGACGTAGAGAACTCGCTACGATAATAATCTTCGCCAACCCCAAGTGACCGCGATAATCCAAAATCAGAAATTTTCACCTTAAAAAAAGAAAAACGAATTCCTAAGTGAATCATAGTTTACTGTGACTTTCATCGTTCTCATTTTTTAGCAACATAATCAAAATTAAAAACCTAAGGTGATCGATCCAACGTCTCCAATGTTTTAACGACTTTATGTTGATACACAAATTTTCCGCTACAATGGATAGAGCTAAGACTTTAGAATGGTTTTGGGAAGAACAAATCAGACGATTACAATGTCAAAGCGTAAAGCAATGAAAAGCTTCTAAGTGAGATTCCCTTTCAGTCACCATAATCGGATTTTAGAGATATAAATAAACCATGGAAAACCGTTTTCGCTGGATATCACTACCACACCAAACAATGGCTGCCAACAGAAATATGTGAATTCAGAAATCGACATCAGCGACCGCACCTCAGTGGAACTAAGACCAAATGAGACCAACAAGAAGGATTCTAATGGTGATATTACCCTTCCTCGTCCTTCTTCCGTTGTGAAACAGTTACATTGGTTTCCTAAGAATCCAAACCTCTTAACATTAAGTACCTAAAGGTGCCACATTATAGTAAAAAAAAAAGCTGCAACACCAATATGAGCAGAAATAATTATCTTCTCTTACACTAATATTTCTCCATCAGCAAATTGGAGCGCGTGTGGTGCAGTGGTTGGAAGCGCCCTGCAATACACATGGGATCGATCCTCGCGCCCCAGGCTCACCAAGCCTTCTATCCCACAAGGGTCGGAAAATTGGTTCCAGACTTGTCTGGGAGGATAGCAGCACTGGCTCTATACATCGGTAGGCCACGGCGAGTCAATGTGAAGGCTAGATATGCATTCAGTCACCTCCAACGATGGTTAATGAAATCGAATGCATGGTGCATCCCTCAGGAATTGATAAACGCCTAGAGCTTATTCCTTTATTATTTATCCATCAGGAAATGCTTGTTATTAAAACAAAGTAAGTCACTTTTTTTTGCAGAACCGCGAGTTTCATGAGTAAGCATTGTATCAAAACCTATCTCTAATTTTTAGTAAGTTTTTTGCTTTGATAACAACAAATTGAAAAATGCACTTCTTCATAAACTCCTTTCTTCTTGGAATCTCAATTTTTAATTTTTTAAAGTATACGACCAATCAGCACATATTTCGCGGATCTCAGCAATTACTTCATTTAGTTCGCCGTTTTGCATTCGTCGTTCATAAACGTCTTCGGGTTTGCATCTGGGTTCGATTGCTACGTGGAGATTGTCATGTTCGTAAGTTTCGTTTAATGTCGGACGACTTGGCACTTCGTGGAATCCTGAGAAAACCCAGATACAGTGTCATTCGGAGTCATTCACAGACTGTTAGCCGACGCTGAGCAGTGGCTGAGCTTTTCGCAAGAGTGTGGCAGCAATCTTCCGACCTTCTGGGATGTGTCCCACAACGTGATCGAACCAGAGGCAATGTGGACCGTTTCACGGTGTTTCTATCCACTGCACTTCCCACGTTCTATTCCAGCTTATTTGAAAGGGACAGAAAGGATTTGGAATAGCCATTTTTTGTTTTGACTTCTTATATTTGAATATTCACTCTTTCTATGGATAGTCTTCCACAAAAATTTTCTCCCAATCCAGACCATATTAGAAAAAAGGCTTACTACCAAGCCATGTATACCTTTTTCGGACTAAAAACAAGCACATTTCTTGCAGCGAGGTCTCGATGGATGAGTCGTTTAGATTCTAAGTAGGCCATACCCTTAACACGATGAATTCACTCATGCGAAAAAAAGCGAAGAAAAACTTAAAGGAAAATATAGATACCTTAGCGATTTGTTCGGCATAGTCGCAGAGTATGTGGATTGGAAACGAATCACGAAGTGCTGGCTTATGAAGGCACTCTAACAACGATCCACATGTTGCCAACTCAGACACCTAAACTTGGCTACAATCATTCAATTATGGAAGACAATCATGACAAATCGTTAACTTCTCATTCTCAGAAGATAACTATCTTGAAGGAACGAAAGCGCAAACACATCTTGCATACCGTAAGCGGGCCAACATCATTCGTGCACTAAAGACCCCTATTCTACTACGCTACAGAATCCGCATAAACACTTTAAGAATTCAAATCCGCTACGATATCTCAACAATGAAGTTCCCTTCTTTGAATAACACCTAAGCTAGATTTTTTCCTATGAAAGGACACTAGAACAGTTAGACTTTTCACAGAACTTCAAAAAACCAGGAACTACAATGATTGCTAACACTACGACTTACTATATGCGCTTAATTATACGCCAAGAAGAATATATACATATGCACAATATATAGACTGGAAGAATGCTATGAATTTCCTACAATTCTAAGAGTTCATTACTTTCACTAAGAAATTTGCCTACCATCATCACTTTCTTCATATCCAGCACCACACCGTACAAGCGAACAACATGTTCATGATGCATACGCGTCATGATAGCAGCTTCCTGTGATTAAAATTACTGTGAACGGAAAAAGAAAGCCACTGAGAGTAAGAAACACAAAGTAAAGTGAAAAGCTCTCGGCGTCGATCAATCCTTGAAGAATGCGCCATGCATTCGACTTCACTAAGCATCGTTTGGAGGTGATTGTATGTATTGCTGGCCTTTACAATGACTCATGGTGGCCTACCGATGCATGAAGCCAGCGCTGCTATCCTCCGAGACAAATCTGGTACCAATTTACCGACCCCAGATGGATGGAAGGCTTGGCGAGCTAAGCGCGAGAGGACCAATCCAATGTGTGTATCGCGCCTCTGACCACAGCGCCACACGCGTTCAGACATAACAAGAAACATAACGCAGAATATTTCTTACCTGAAGAAAGGCTGTCGAGCTGGTGATAAGCTTATCCGGTGCAACACATTTTACAGCAACCTAATAACGTCTAACATTTAGTGGCAAGGATTTCAAAATTACACTCCAAAAGGATTTCAAACATTTTGAGCTGCACAACCTTTCACACACAAACTCTACTCCTCGAAAAAAAAGCGCGCAAATCAACTTATTTCTCTTGGAAACTTTGAAAACTTGAACATCTACAGCATGATGGAAATGTAAGTACTTAGTGAAGAAAAAATGAAAACCTAAGTGAAAAAAAAATTAACCTGCATAGATTCAGCACCATTCGGTCCACCTTTCCATGACGCTTGCCACACAGAACCAAATTCGCCCTGACCAAGTTCTTTACAGAGAGTTATACTGAAAAACGTCCAACTTTCTGTTTTTGGGATAAAAACAGTGCTAATACCAGTGCTTTTTTTATAGCGTCGTTAAGAGTTCCTGAATCCAAAATGATGAAAATTTTAAAATTCGTAAGACAAAGTTCATTTAAAAATATCCCAAAAATGATTCTTGAAAAACAATGCGACGCAGAAAAAATGGCAGATTTGTCATCAAAAAGTTTAGAAAGATATCTTTTGCTAAACCCTTCCTCCTTACAATCAAAGTAGGCCGTTTTACCCCTGATTTCTAGCCGAAAAATTTGGCATACGATAACTATCAAATCGTGGAAGTCGTATCGTTTCGCTTGAATAGTTCAAAATTGCATTTAAACACAATAACAGCAATTCGAAATGCAACAGAAGAATGGACAAGGGAAGGGACTCAGAACGCTCGGAATTTTCCTTAAAGAAGAGGATGAAAGCCACTAACTCAAAAAACTATCTGTGTTTGTAGAGCTGTACAAAAACCCAACAATCACTTTTCATCGACCGTTTTTCGTTTGGAAGATAATGGGATGTGAATAAAAATTCGGTGAATGGACGTAGCATGAGTTGAACGAATGGCAGCGTGATCATCGTTGAAAATTTACTCTACGCTTTTTCTAATGCAAAAAGAACGATCTCCTTCTTGATAACAAAGTGAATTGCTCATGGCACTGATCAATAGAACTAGCTGAGAGAAAGGCAAAACGAAGGACACGCATGGTGTGGTTGTGAACACGTTAGCCCCGGAAAGGGTAACCTTCCCCACTGCAGACAGCTGCGGTGCGGAGTTTTGCATCTCATCATCATTGAAATGTTAACGTGATCACTATGACAATTGGCGACATTCTCTTCAGTGAATGGACCAAAGCAAAGCTCCTAAGCATTTTCCAAAGGCTAATTTGCATAAAAAAGCTCACTAATGTGAATTTTTTGTTTTCAGTGGATGAATTCATCAACACCTTAAGGCATGGGAAAACAATCGCAGTGGAGAAATACCGTTAAAAAATTCGATGAAATCTTGCAGAAAATGCAACGCATATATGCATGCAAAGGAAATAGAAAAGGTTCAATTCTCAAGCACGACATGAGCGCGTGTAGCGTAGTGGTCGGAGGCGCAACCTAATGCACACGAGATCGCTCAAGTTCCCTAGTCTCACCAAACCTTCCATCCCTTAGGGATCCGCAAAATGCTATCAGCCTTGTTTGAGAGAATAATAGCACTTGCTCAATGCATCGGCAGGCCAGGCCATCGCGAGTCATTGTACAGGCCAGATATGCATTCATCACCCCCAACGATGCTTAGTGAAGTCGAATGCACGACGCGATCAATCAGGAATTGATTAACGCCAAAAGCTTTAGTTCTAGAGCTCATGTTCGACTAGGCATGCATTGAACAATTAACTCTACAGAAGCAGAACCAGTTAGGCTACCGAACTCTGAGTCATTCACCTTATCTCTACTAACAAGTCTTTTTTTTTCATGAATTTGGACAACTACTGGCTGAGAAAACCTTCAATAGCTAAACCACTGTCAAAATGTCTTCGAAGAATTCGTCGTTTGAGGGACTTCAGAATTTTCATCTGTGGAAATATGAACTTACACTTTGCTGGCAAAGACACATAAATTCTAATAGCCTCTGTATTGATTAACAAAGTTGTGTTTGAGCTTAGTTATAATTACTTAAGACCCATGGTTCAAAGTTGCAACTATCTTTCCACTAAGCTAAGAAGAGTAACAAGTGGGAACCTCTATAGTGCTTTGAATGCTTCTGGAAATGAAGTGAAAAAGAATAGAAAAAGCACTGTGCAACTTGAACAGAGAATATAAAAACACGCAAAGAATCTAAAACATGTTTGCGGAGAGATGTAAAGAATCTGAAACATTTTCTAAAATATCGAGCGAACAGTTAGAAGCCAACACGACAAACCGCTTTACACTTCTTAAATCTTCAAATTCTTGAAACCTTCCCAAAAGACTGAACGTAAATTGGCTTACTTTTCTAACGGAATAACATGCTGTTCGGTGTCATCGTTCCTTGTTAATGGCATTTCTCGACGATCGATGCTCTCTGATCTGCCAAAGACCTTCTTTAGTTTACCAACAAATCCACTGGGATAGAGACGGGTGTACTCTTTGCGAAGACGTTTCTGCTCTGGACGACTCATACCTAGAGTTTAACTTCGGTGAAATCCCACGAAATTTAGCAAAATTGCTTCATTAAACAAATTAGAACACGAAATGCCTCTAATGTTTAAATCAAATTCTTATTCTTATATTGTAAGTTGTTATTTATTTGATTTGGCTTCATAAATCGTAAGTTCGTCAAAACCTCCATCTGATGGGTTAATTATAGGCTGTCACCACATCAACTGCAAGCGCATATCGATTCGAACGATAAAATTTTTTATTGCGTCTCTATAAGGAGATCTCAACAGTGACTCCTCGCATGGGTCCACTCCGAGTTCAGTTCCTATACAGAAATTTGCAAACGAGAATGACAGTGGTTGCCGATCCAATCGAATTACCAGACAATATGTCTTATGACCTTACGTGCAAGGTGAGAAGATTGTTCTGTTATTAGTGTGATACCGCTGAAATGTCTTACTGTAGGCCTCTTCCAACCTCCATTGCACTCATCATAACTATCTGCTGTAACTATCACAAGTTTCACGATGCCGATTCGGAGCTGACATACGGACAAGGATGCTTCGTCTAACGTGATGCTCGTTCACGCGGTGGAGGAACATACTTAGTATACAGTGACCACAACAGGATGGAAAGCCCATCGGTATTCAGCGTGATCAACAGATATCGTACCTTTAGATAACTACGCTTCCCACGCTTCCAAGAATTCGCTACAACAGAAAGTCCTTAGCCTTCACTTCAAATTGGATATTAAAAGTTATATTATTTAAAAAAAGCAAGAGCAATTCGCTGTGAAAGCAAAGAGCATTAAATTTAATTCGGGAATTCAAGAGATGGCAAGAAACTGGATGAATTTGGTACCGACATTATTTCATGGAATTTTGAATGAGTTCTTGTGATTCTTTATTGAGGAATACATCAAGAAATTATCATGGCGACTACGACGTTCCAAAACCAATGGAATAGAATTCCAAAAAAGTGCCAAAGTATATATATATATATATATATACAAAGTACCAGAGTCTCAATACAATGGGACGCTTGTAGCGCAGTGTTAAGAGGCGCCGGTCGTTAGTTCGATCCCGCGTCCTATGCACACCAAGGGGTCGGTGTCAATTCGTCATTCCATTAATACGGGTCAGCAAAATGCTACCAGAAATGTGTGGGAGGACAGCACATTGACTTGATCCATCAACAGATCACCGAATGCCATTGTATAGGTCAGACATACATTCATCTGTAACGATTACTGACGATGTGGAATGTATGGCCCATACCTCAGAGAATGATGAACGCCAAAAGCTTTATTATTTATCCATTTATTCAAGCAAATTCGATCGAGAACAAATGAGGCTATAGGAAAGCGAAAGAATGAAGGAATCTTTTCATTAAGCACAAATTAAGGTGGGATATACGTAATTCTACAGCATACTTAACTGCTACGAAGAGACTGCAGTAAAAAGGTGTACAAAGAAACCAACAACGCGAGAGATTAGCATAACAAAATATGTTACATGGAAAAAAAAGGTGATGAAAAACCACACACCTATCCCAGTTAGGTCCTGTTCCTCGACATACTGCAAGTCTCCGGCATGTCGTAGTTTTAAAACTTCACGAAACTTACTTTCGTACCTGCAATAATTAACTTCTTCAAGGAATTCACGACGTTCTTTACCTCATGAAATCTTCAAACACCAACACCCTACCACCTTTCTTATGATGACAACCGACCACCACTAAAAGACGATCTTAAGTGTTTCAAAAGAACGAAAGAGAAACAGCCCCTGATTTCCTATTGTTCTGTTTGGCTCTCTAGCAACACCTACACTTCCAAACTTTTACATCATATTTCGTAAAACTGCAAACTAAATGGTACTTGTTTCCTTTTTCCTTCATTTTTATTTATCGATAAGAATAACACAGAGAAAGAAAAACACAATTAATACGGCATCCAATGAAAGAAAAAAACAACCTAAGTACAAGTTATTTAAGATTTATAACTCAGTTTATTAGCGAGTTTATCAGTTCAATACGTTTCCAATTTAAACAAAAAGGAATAGGAGAACCTAATATTAAATAAAACATATAAAACTGATTGTTCGAGCGACATTTCAATGCAAACTGGATTACATTCTGATACCACGTAAACCCTATTATTTACTCCCACGACCGACTTTCCATTAATCTCGGCATTGATCAAGTAATTCTTTGTATTCTTGTTGAGCAAACGCGAGGTGTTACTTTTATTTTTTATTCGAGAATAAGCTGACGTTTCGGCGGATTTCGCCTTCCTCGGAGCCGTTTTCTATGAGGCTTCCACTGAGTATGTCGCGTGAAGACCAATCGCACAGAATTCACATGGAAGCGTAATGTCTGAGGAAATCAATCACATCCATAGATATCTTAATAACTTCAGCCATTAACCAATTCAAATATGTTTAATGGAGCAAGGACCCTTCGGAAACCAAAGACGACGTGCAAATTTGAAAATCGCTAAAATTTTCTGAGGGAGAAGTCTAGCGCAGTAGTAAAAGGCACTCTACAGGACAGATACGATTGCCTGTTGGATAGTGTCCCTAGAAAACTACATTCTCCGTGCCGTCGAGATCGGCAAATCGGTAGTAGACTTGTCTGCGAAAACGATGAATCGGTAAATCTCTGTAAATTACTGCATAGGCTTAATATGTATATAGTCACCTCTAAGATGTAGAATGTCGTTAATGAAGTCGAATGTACAGTACATTCTTCAGCTATTGATCAAAGCAGAGCGCATTGTCTTCATTTTTATCTTTAATGCATTAACAATACTATTGACAAGGGATTAATTTCATGGTGTACATCTCCCATGATTGCAGTTTTCTTCACAATAACCAGGCAAAGTCAACTAAAAGTACATTTTAGTGCAATTGAACACCCCTGCTTTCACTAAGGATATACACACCCATCTTCACTAGCCTACGCAAATGACATCAATTATGGATAAAGCTCATTTGCGACATGTCTAGATAAGTTGTGATCATGCCTAGACGATACTAAATAGTTATAGTTAAGTTCCCACTCATCATTCAGTGTCGTACACTTTCCTATAACGAAATCCTGCAATTCTTGGTGAACTAAAAGTGATAAAAGGAATATTAAATTGATAGGATTTCACAATAGTTCGGCTTTTCTTGAACACGACAAGTTTTTTCATTTACACAAGACCCTTCATCACACCTACTGTGAGCAGCCATTACTTCTTTCATTCGATTCCTAGTATTCCACATCCACAATGATCTTCTAACAGCTCGCGTGTTGTTTTAGCTTCTGCTTGACAATTTCGCCTTCTTTATGAATGTCGTAAAACGCTGGTCGATTCAGTTCTCCTTGCAATATTGGGGATAGTCGAGCTAAGGCGGTCCATATGGAGTAAAGGATAATGTCAGGGAGGATCGAACTATCGCCTTTGTTTCTTGACCGACAGAATCATTGTCCACTGCGCTATTCCCGCCCCACATAACAAATTCCTTACTCCATCTAAAAAAAACCTTTAACTCATCTTCCAGTAAAGGAGACATGAAAAGTCCTTGGCTTGCATCAACTGCAGTTTTATTACTACCTTTTTATTTCACATCAATCAACGTTACACACTCTGCAGATAATAATTCTTCCATTCGATTCGCTTCCTCACACCCATCACTCAAAAAAGGCAATTGTGTTCAACTGCTACTTGAGGATCATATGAACGTCGTTAAATGTTGGTAGTGTCTTTTTTCAAAAAATCTTAAGACTGCCGTTCTCTTCAAGATCTTCATCACAGGCAGTTGTTAGCTTCTGTGGATTGCAAGTGAGGTGATTCCAGACAAGTCTGGTAGCAAATTTCAACCTTAGAGGGATAAAGGACTAGGTTGACCTCTAAGAGGTCGAACCAGACCTTTATAAGTACTGCACATATCACTGTTCTAGCATGTCTATCACTGTTTTAGCAACACCCACCATACTTGTTAAAAAAAAGATTCAATTGCAAACAAAGAAAAAAATTTCGATTAGACGTTGAAAACAGCCCAGACAAAATACTGAAGGCATTGCAGAATACGACAAAACAGCCATTTCACAACATGCAAAACCGTATTCTATCGTATTCAAACCACCATTCAGTTGGTTAAGGAAACCATAGCATTCAACCGCACTCGAAAGGTGATCTTTTTCCCAGCGTTCGCATTTTGCAACAACCTCAAAAAAGCACGAATATTGTAGAAAATATTCACAGCGAAATTGCAAGAGCACCATTTGTAGCAAAATAAAAATGAACAGCTAAAGATAAAGTGTAAAGTTCAAGGCCTTATGTAAAGTTCTAATGATGTATTAGCATATTCCGTTTAACTTAACGCCTTCGTCGTTATGAAAGTAGATGTGGATTTACCAATGGAACAAATTACAGGTGAATAATGTCCCTGCACGGAAGGGAGGCTCCGCTGACTCGGACCGAGGTGGAACCAGGCAATTACGCGTGCATTGCTCAGCATCTTCAGCATAACGCAAATTGAAATGTCGAGTTAGCGAAAACATAACATCACTCAAATACCTTGCCATCTAACTGTTGTTGAGATAACGTTGGAAGTTATTGACGGAAATATCAGCAATGTGGTCGGAGAGCGATAAATGCTCTCACCTCTTCATTCATCGACCACAGCCTACTTCATGATGACGCATTTTGCTCGTGGAATCAAAACATTCGACCTATACTTCATTCATGATAATGCATGAAATCATTAGTAACTCATCTCAGCATTGCACCACTTTTTACAGTTTTAGAACTTAAGATTTTTACACTAAGAAGCTATGTGATTAGGTAGGATAAGTAAAATGTGTTGAAAAATTTTTGACGTGACCACTTGTACCGCCGTCACGAGAATAATCGATGAAGTACGGATTGGGTTTGGATAGTAGGTAGAAAAGTGCTAAGGTTATAAGAAAACTTCAGATCATATCGGAATTCACTCATCAAATATAGAATAAGCCTGTAAATCATAAAAGAAGACGTATTTTTTTGTAATTTGTCATATTCGATAGGAAATCGTTATGAACGAAGCACTGTGTCACGACTCTATACACTTCTGCTTCTCAAACATTTCAGTTGTAGGTGTCGAAATCTTGACAATTTCATAACTTTGGGACTTCGCCTGTATTCAGAAAATGCAGATTCTATAAATACCGGTAATTGAACACGATCATATGAAATCTAGGCAAAATTCCAGCTGAATGGCAACCCATTAAACTCTGCTTCACAGATTTGAACAATTGTCTCTGGATATTAAAGCAGATTCAAAAAACAATTGGTTTAAAAAAAAGACGGAGCGGGGATAAAAAAAATCGTAGACATGCGAGCGGCAATTTATGGAATGACGCTACAGTTCGTTGCTATAGCACTACTGTTGGATACGCAACGATTTTGCCCAGAAAACTATAAGAATATTCAAAAATTAAGGATGTAAAGGAAGGAAAACGATCCAAAAACTAACTCTTCTTATGTGACTGAAAGCAATCCTACTTAAAAGATAAAGTAACCATAGAGCTATAACGTATGAAGACAGCTAAAACATAATAGATTAAAAAGGGTTAACCGCCACCTACGTATGAAAACAGGAAAAGATGACAATTT